CTTGTGTCCGTTTCTTAGATTAAGTTGTAATTTTCATTTTTGATTTTGGTGAGACAGTAGAATGTAAAGGATAGTACAAGGGAGAAACCCTTGAAGCCGGATGTTTGCCCCGAAGGTCGTGATGTAAACCCTATTTCGTTATGATACATTTAGCCTGAACAATGTATGAATCATCGTGTATGGAGAGACGCCTTTCCTTAATGCATTATGGGCTACATTGATGAATTTATAGTACCCTCACTGGGCACATCCCCCTATTTCCTTTGTCTTGTACATTCTACTAGCTGCCATCTTCAGTCGAGGTCTATTCGACCTTCAGGTTGTTTGAGAACGTGGTTTATGGCTCTAAAGTGAGGAACATTTGGAACACGTGTACGGTCCATACAAGACCGACTCTAACCATGTTGACTGAATTTGACCAAGTTTTAAGGTAACCGTTCTTTTTCCTTTTTAGCGTAGCTCATCCCGAGCTTATTTTTGTCTTGTTCTTACTTGAGGACAATTAAGGTTTATGTAACGACCCAAAAATCAAGGGTAAAAATTTCATTTTTAATATAGTCAAAATATAGATATCACTTATTTCAAACATCTAAAACATCGTTAATTAAAAACATTTATCAGAGTTCATCCCAAAATCATTCAACGCGGAAAACATAGGTGCGTGCACTGTGATCAATCCGAGCCCTTCTTTTCCAAATCGATGATACCTAAAACCAATAAACAAAACTGTAAGCACGAAGCTTAGTGAGTTCCCCAGAGCATACCCCACACTGTCCACATAATCATATAATCCATATTAGCTATAAAAGCTACATAAACCATAACAATCACATATCTATACATATCAACATATACGGATGGCGTGGGCTCGTCCCCAGGGTCTTACTCCAGGATGTCATGGGCTCTCCACATGGTCTTACACCTAAGTGTCATGGGCTCTCCCGTGGTCTTTGATAGGAAAGCCATGGGCTCTCCACATGGTCTTACATCCAGGTGCCATAGGCTCTCCCATGGTCTTCCATGCAAGTATCACAAAGACAACTAGCATACAACATAATCACTAACATACCACCTATACATGCATACCAGACATATCAGTAGTGAATCTAAATTAACACTACAATATAGTAGGAAAGCCATGGGCTCTCCACATGGTCTTACATCCAGGTGCCATGGGCTCTCCTATGGTCTTCCATACAAACATATACCACTAGCATACTTCCTAGCACATAACCAGCTAACATGTCACATAATACAACTTCAACTAGTATACCACATATCATAAAATGGGCCGGCCTTGGTGCCTTAGACCCATGAGTATGGTGAGGAGACTCACCTAACACTGCTAAAGTCCCGCGGATGAACTTCCAGCTGCTGGTTGACAGATTTCCGAACTGCCAACATCAAACAATACCCAGTTAATAATTGGGTTCCACGCCCAAGGTCCAAATCACACTCCAAAGGCCCAAAAGCCAAGTAATGGGCCAAAGCCCAACATATGGAAAATTGGGCCCAAACCTCTACATGAACTTATTTTAAGGCCCAACCAATTATTCCAGTCCAAACATGTGGCATTTTTGTGGCCCAATATCTAATAATTCTCAAGGCCCAAATATGGCCCAATTTTCCAAATTGGGCCCAAGCATCTCTAATGGGTATTATCTTGAAGCTCAATAATTTTCCTTAGTCCAATAAATGGCCCAATAAGAACCCAAAACCCAATTAGGGTTTTTCACATAAAATGACGATTAGGGTTAAGTGTTCCTACTTAACCCATTAAGGACTCAATCCATTAAGTCCCACATGGCCTTAGGTTAATTGCAAATGGTTATTAATTACTATTTTAAGTTCATTAAATAATTCTGATGCGGTCCCGATGAGTCCCAAATTAGGGTTTCATGGCATTAGGGTTTTCTAAACCCTAGTTAGGGTTTCCAACCCATCTTAGCCCAATAGGCCCAATAGCTAGGTCCTTTGACCAATTAGGGTTCATTAGGCCCATTAGGGCTTCATTGGGCCCATTAGGGTTTCAAGCATCCTAACGGAATCAAACATGGCAAGGAAAAGCACACCGCCACCCGACACGGCGGCCGGTGGCGGCAGGAGGCGGCAGCCACCACCTCATGGTGGTGGTTAGGGTTTCTTTCCATTATTCCATTTTTTGTTACAATGTACAATGCCAATCTCCAAATAAACACACACACAAATGCTAAATACACATACACACACTGGGCGACACATGGTGGCAGCGGCGGTCCTAGTGGTCGGCAGCACCCTTGGTGACCAACATGAGCAGCAGCCGACAGTGGCTATAGCTTGGAACGAATCATCGGCGAATGGACGTGATGGGTGGTGGAACCGTGGGCGACAGGAGCGGCAGAAGTAGGCACTCCGTCCTCGTCTTCAGCAGCGACGGCTATCGGCGGCTTCATCTTCTCATCGGGATGGACCACAACGGCATCAACGAGGCAGCAAGAGGGTTCGGCGGCGCCGGCCGCCGGTTGCTGATGGCGACCGATGAAGCAGCAGCGCCTGGAGGCTGCTCGACGGTACTAGGTGGTCGGAGAATGGATGAGATATCTGGTGGTGGTCGTTCGGAACGTGACCGGTCGGAGAAACGAAATTAGATGGAGACGGCGGCTGGGAAACGGCATGCTCGCGGACTTGGCTAGACTGCGGCGGCCGAAAAATCGTGAAGGAATAGGGTGGTGGCGGCCGAAGGTGAGGAGGGTGGCGGCTGCATCAGATTTAGGGTTAGGGTTGAAGTTGACGGGGATAGCACGAGTTTTATACCCGGTTCTCAAACATATTCCCATAATAACATAACTAGTCCCTCCTTGTAATATTCTTTTCAAAAGAAATCCCAAATTTACCAATTAGACCCCGCCTTCTGAAAATCTTATGAAATCAAGTCCAGAACTTACCGTTTAGTCCCTGCTTCCATGAATCTTTACATATTAAGTCCAAATAATACCAAACACCCCTTGACTTATGAAAATCTTTACAAATGAAGTCCCAAAATTACACTTTAACCCCCGACTAATCCAAATTATAACATTCGGCTCCCCGAAACCAAAACTCCACTTAATAATATGGATTTTAAGGCGACTATTCGTTTATAAATTTTATCTATTTATTTATTTATTAAACAGGATGTTACAGTTTAATATTGAGTTGATTTGATACTTTTTTTTATTTACTTCTTTTATATAGTTTATTTAAGCATTTTTGTCTTTTTTGTTGTTATTGCATTGCATTTTCTTTTCCTTCTTTATCTTGGATCGTATCGAGTACTTTCTCTTTTGCATATGGTGTTTTGTAGGTTTTTAGAGTCTCGTTGTGGTTGCGGATTAGCTTGTTGTTGGGATTGGTGGGATTGTGAGGAGCTTTTGGGCTTTGCGGACCCAATTTAGAAGAATTGGGCTTGATGCATTAAAGACTTGGATGAGATGGACTTTTGAAGATGGATCATGGACCCTTACAGATGGGCTTGGACTATCCATTTCGAAGCTTGAAGATGATTGGTTCATTTTAAATCATATGAGGTGTGAAGGGGACCAAGGCAATTAAAAGTAGTGGGGTGGAGTAGTGGAGATTGTGGAGAGCTAGATCCATCATCTTCTCATTCTTCTAGTAATTGCTAATTTCTTGATGTTAAAACACTTTTATGATTATTATCTTGTTGCCATGAGTGACTAGTCTCTTTATTTTGTTTGACTTGCGCTAAAACCCTTAGATATTTGTGGGTTTTTTAGGATTCATGTTTGATTGTCATTTATCTCATGTTATTGATTCTTAGTTCATAATTCTTATGCTTGTTTAAAACTTTGATCACGAGTTTTGTACTTGAATGAGAAATTGTTGGTTTCTTTCTTTGATTTAGCAATAAATCATTGAATTTGCTTAGAACAATGGCTTTATGATGGTAGAAATCATCTGTAGCTTATGGATCATTGCTCCTTTATGGATGTGCAAGCACTCACATCGTCCAGGAATTGGGAATTCTTTCACTCTTAAGGCTAATCAATTTTCTTAGGTTCAATTGCTTCAATTTAATCCTTGATTTTAATTAAAAAAGTGTGGTGTGGGCTTCCCCAACCTCCATACTACCTTTGATGAATTTTAGCACATCATGGATCATGATCGTTATAACCAATTTGGGTTGAATGATAAGCTTATATATTGAATCCTAATGATAAATACATAAATGTTCATTGTGTTGAATTGCCTTAGTGGACCAACTTTCTCCGATATTTGAGCATCTCATCATCTTGATTAATTGCAAGATTTTTGATTCATCAAGTCTTTTAGTTTTCAAATAAATCAACCCCCCCTTTAGTTTAATTGTAGTTAGTTAGTTTTATTTCACTTGTTTAATTGGATTGCATTGGTGATTGAATACAACCATTTCCCCATGGACTGATCCCCCTTTTACTCCTATATTACGTTTTATTTACAAGCAAAATGGTGTAATTTGTTTGGTGGACTTGACATCCCACCAGAAAGTCACTAGTCCACCACTCAACCCTCCCCCATTTTAAGGCCCATCAAGAAATCAACACTTCCCTTCGGTGAGTAAGTGAGTGTGAGTCTGCCCTTCACAAATATTATAAAATGAAAATTAAACCTCGTCAAAAACCATAAAGTTTTATAACATTTTTAGTATTTTTTTTAAAATGTTACAGGTCACTTAAAGTATGTAGAATTTGAACTTAACTCAATTGTATTCTAAATTGTTTCCAATATTGTTAGACCATTTTGATGATGGTAAATAATGTTTTTAGTTATACAAACAAAATTCAATAAGAAACAATAATATGGTAAATATGAAGTGGTCAATTTACATAAAACCTAAAAAAACTCTCTAGAATAGTCAGAGTTAGTTTAATAGGTCCTTACACACAAACACACATGCGTATAACTGAAACATCGAAAAAAAATTCAAAGCAAGAAGCACGACTATAAAAAAGCATGCTTCATGATTATGTCTTCTCATATTTCCTATATATGTATATATCTAAGAAAAAGTGATTGTAACATGCGATGCTTCATCAAAAAAATAAACATGCGGTGCGATGGTAACATAAGCCATTAATGTTATGTTAGGACGAAGTCCGCATTGTTGTCAAAACCCCATCTACCTAACCGGATCAAGAAAGATAGTACTTCGGATGGGTCATGAAGTGAATGAAAAGCCATTGTGTCTCTTGGTTTCGATGCCACTACTATCGGGAATCCATCACCTCTTTCCCTTAGAACCTAAAACAACCAATATACAATAAATAACTAGTCAGTCATTACAAACATATCAATTTCGATGATGCATATGTCTTTAATTCAGGCTATGTTTGTGAACAAACAACCTTGTACTATGTTTACAAATAACAATTTGTCGAACATTATTTAGTAGTCTAATTGTCTTGTATAACAAAAACACATAAACTAAGGGAAAAACAAAGCCAGGTAGGTATGTATACCTTGAAAGCATCCTCATCGGTTCTATCATCTCCGATGTATATAGGGAGGAGGTTTCTAGAATTATCGAAGCCTAAGTTATGGAGTAAATACTCAAGAGCATGACCTTTGTTCCATTCAATGGATGGCCGAATTTCCATCACCTTTTTGCCTCGCGTCATGTGGAATTGATCGGGATAATTAACAAGCACTGACTCGACTTGCTCTTCTAGAGTCTCATACTCTTCATCCTTAACATGACGATAATGAACAGATAAGCAAAACCTATTATCCTCAATCACCACTCCTTTTATGTTTTTCGTTCTCTCCCTCAACTCAATCAACATCTGTCTATATGCATATTAATAGTATATTCGAATAATGACATGCATATATATACCATATATGCATGCAAATTATTTAATTATAGCTAACCATACCTTTTCAATTGCAGGGAGAAAGTCTTTAGCCGGTTGGAACGTGATAAATTCATTCCCCTAATCCATTGAAATCACACCAACTTGTGAAAATAAATTAGGGTTATTGTTAGAAAAATTTCATTATTTTGTCATAGTTTATGGAAAAGTTTTAACTTTTACTTTTTGAACAGAAAAGTCACGATGATATAAATTTACACAATAATCTATCATTTTTATTAAAAAAAAATTAAGGATTTTTCTATTAATTCGGGAAAATATTATATAATCTTTTGGGAAATCTCCAAAAATATCCCATTATTTTGGAGAAATTAACGATTAAGTCCCAAATTATTATTTTTGAATAGAAAAGCCGAAGAAACAGATTAATTTCTTCATTTTAACGTTTTTTGACCCGTTCAGTAGATTTTGAGACCAAATCGTTAATTTTTTTTTCATAATAATGGGACTTTTAGTATATTTTCTCAAAATTTGTATATAATGTATAAACGTATTTATTACGTATTTATGCAATTTTTAAGTTTTTTATATAGATTTTTACAAATTTTTATGTATTTTAAATATATAAACGTATTTTTTTAATGTATTTATGTAATTTTTAAGTTTTTTATATAAAGTTTTATGTATTTTAAATATACAAGCATATTTTTTTACGTATTTATGTATTTTTTAAGTTTTTTATATAGATTTTTATGAATTTTAAATGTATAAACATTTTGTTTACGTATTTATATGTATTTGTTGTATATATATATACAT